TTTTGTACATAAACCATGTTGCTAGTTTTCTCGTATTAATTGTTTTACATTTGTCTTATCAGGGCCTTTTATAGCTGACTATGTGGTATAGGTTTTGCTCAGTGTTAAAGACTTTTACGGTGATCTATAGTTGTAAACTTCTATGTCATTTAGTCTCTTGAGGAGAGTTGTCTCATTGGCAATCGTACATTAACAAAGCTCTGTTCATTACCGGTTAATAAGTTAAATAAAATTTTAGAGGATTGCAACACAATTTCATATAGCAGTCCTAAGTATGAAATCGTTCAAATTATAATGGCATATTGTTATTCTAAACTGTTTCCCAAAATTGATCGCCCTGAAGATCATAAAAAACAGTTTATTAAAATAAAGTATGTCAATAAAGGTTTTGATTTTGTAAATTTTGCCGGTATTTTTAACGACCATTCTGTTAAAGAACAAATTCCGGGATATTTTGATAATACTGAGCTCCCTCTTATTTGTTATATTTACAAGAAATCTACCCGGAAATTTGTGTTTAATTATAGCCAATTGTGTAAAGATGTTAATATCAGTGAAAATACACCTACTTCATGTAATTGCAGTAATTCCGAATACATTTATGGACCCATTTCCCATGTTATAACAGGAGATCTTAACATCGTTCAAGACCGAGAGTTAAAATCATTCCTCAGTAAAGGACCTAAATATCGTCCCCCGTCAATTATTAATTGGAATGAGTGTCGTAATATCATCCACGACTCACTCCATACTTACTGTTTGAAATGGATAAAACGGGAAAAAGCTGACAAAAAATCTTTGGACTCTTTTTTTAAATCAGTAATGAACATAGTTGATATACGTATTCAACATTTTAAAGAACATTTTACTCTTAACAATAACCACAATAAACCTATTTCTCGTATCAAACATAAACTAAAAGAACTAGCCAAGGAATTTGTTTTTGTCCCGGCCGATAAAGCTGCTAATAATATTATTATTGTTTGACGTAAATTTTACATTGAGGTTCTGAAAAAAGAAATCACCAATTCACCAACATTCCAACTGACTCCATTTTCAGAAAACGACATCTGTAACAAACATAAACTTTTAGCTACCGCTTTACAAGCAGAACCAAATACAATGAAAGTCCCAACTATGTATTGGCTTCCGAAGCTACACAAAACACCTTACAAATATAGATTCATTTCGTCTTCAAGCCATTGTTCCACTACTAAATTGTCTATTCTTCTTACCAGTACACTTGGTACAATCAAAAACCTGATAATAAATTGTTCAAATAAGGCCTTCGAAAATAGTGGAATTAATTACTTTTGGAGTGTCAAGAACTCGTTGGAAGTACTTGATAAATTGCATGCATATATTGGTGATTTTGAATCTGTTCAAAGTTTTGATTTTTCTACCCTATATACCACATTGCCTCACATTCTCATTAAGAAAAAATTCACACACCTAATTAAATGGGCATTTAAAAAGTCAGAATGTGAATATATATGTTCAAACTCTTTTAGGTCATTTTTTAGTAACAATAAACAAAAAAACTATGTCAATTGGACATGCTTTGATACTATATATGCCCTTGAATTTTTACTAGATAACATTTTTGTTCGCTTTGGAGATTCCGTATATCGTCAGGTTATCGGAATTCCAATGGGGACTAACTGTGCACCACTTATTGCGGACCTTTTTTTGTATTGCTATGAGTTACAATTTATGACAAAAATCAGTAAAGACCCATCGAAACAACATCTGATACACAAATTTAATAATACTTTTAGATATTTGGATGATATTTTGGCTCTCAATAATGACGACTTCAGTATGTATACTAAAGAAATTTATCCTGTTGAACTTACTTTAAATAAAGCTAATACTAACAATGACCACTGCCCTTTCCTCGATCTTGATATCTATATCATTAACGGAAAGCTTAATACTAAAATATATGATAAAAGAGATGATTTTCATTTCCTATCGTTAATTATCCATTTTTAGATGGTGACGTTCCCTTGTCACCATCTTACGGTGTTTATATATCTCAACTTGTACGATTCGCTCGTGAATGTAACAATGTTTTAGATTTTAACGAGAGAAATTTATGAATTACTGAAAAATTATTACACCAGGGTTTTCGATATCACAAACTAGTCAAAACATTTACTAAATTTTATCATCGGTATAAGGACATCATTCGTAAATATAGCTCAACATGCAGACTTCTTATACGTTCAGGTATTTCACATCCAATTTTTTATGGAAATATTCTTTATAAAGCACAAAAATGTCAGTATTCACCTCTGAAACTAACAAAACCTTTAAATAGACTTATTAAGAAGGGATATAGTTACGATACTGTTGTCAGGTCATTAAAGATTGCATATTTTGGCGTTAATATTGATTCACTTATAGGGTCTTTGCATCGGCACTAAACACATTTATTTAAAAACCAGTTGTTGGCATGACACGGGTTATGTTCTTCTCATATATGTTATGATGGTATGATACTAAACCCCTAACGGGAAGGATTGTGCCTGATATTCATATGATGAAGACATAATCTTTCAATCAGTTTAATTGAAGTCTGGAGCTGGCATGTCAGTTAACTGCTAGAAGTCTGTTGTTATTTATGTATTATTGTCATTTTGTTTATTTTCTTTGGTTACATCTTCTGACATCAGACTCGGACTTCTCTTGAACTGAATTTTAATGTGCGTATTGTTATGCGTTTACTTTTCTACATTGGCTAGAGGTATAGGGGGAGGGTTGAGATCTCATAAACATGTTTAACCCCGCCGCAATTTTGCGCCTGTCCCAAGTCAGGAGCCTCTAGCCTTTGTTAGTCTTGTATTATTTTTAATTTTAGTTTCTTGTGTACAATTTGGAGTTTAGTATGGCGTTCATTATCACTGAACTAGTATATATATTTGTTTAGGGGCCAGCTGAAGGACGCCTCCGGGTGCGGGAATTTCTCGCTGCATTGAAGACCTGTTGGTGGCCTTCTGCTGTTGTCTGTTCTGTGGTCGGGTTGTTGTCTCTTTGACACATTCCCCATTTCCATTCTCAATTTTATCATCAATCATACCAATGGTTTTCTTACTTGCGTCATCATCTGGTATACTATACTCACCTGAAATAAATTATATTCAAAATATAAAAACAGTTGTATTATTTCAGTGCCAGTGCAAAACGTAACAAACAAATAACTATTACAAAAACATTAAAGAAATAAACAATCAATTAAAAATTACAACTTAAAGAAAATTGCTGGTGTTAGTTGGAATAACATTTAATTAATACATTAACTTACGATGAGATTCCGTACTACTGTCATCAACTGGTTTGCCAACTAAAATAGCAAAACATAAAACAGATGTGAAATGTTCACTGTTTGATAATGTTTATTGTCCTGCTGCATAATACTGATTCTGTTTATTCCAAAATATCAAATCCTATGTTGTGTTTTGTGTACTGTTGATTGTCAGTTGTTTCTTTTCTTTTTTAGCCGTGGCGTTGTCAGTTTATTTTCGACTGATGGGTATCTTTCGCATCCCCTCGTTGTATTATATTAATATAACACTTTGGAATAGTATTAGTATGATTGGACTCATTAAGTAATTTTTTTTCCATATGCATGAACTTTTGACATTGATTGGATTGCGTATGAATTGTACAACTGAAGAATCTATCTTCTGTCATATTCAGACATCAATATGACGTTGTCAAAATTTAATGGAATTTTTGAAAAACTGTTTGGACAAAAGTCATTTTACTTTCAGAAAAAAAATATGCTAAACATTATAACGGTGGATAATGGTTTGCGGCTTTCTTTAAAGAATAATGATTACAATCGTCAATGAAATACAATAAAATGATAAAAGTATAAAATTGTTAACAAAAATTAACAAAGCAAAAAGAAAAAGAAATTTTTGAATTTATTTGAACAAACAATTTCGTAATAAATAAGCCTACCATGATATTTCGTACTTCTGTCATCAACTGGTATGCGAACTTTAATAGAAATGATTACATATGAATCATAACTGGTAACATGATAATTTCTTATTGTTCTTTCCTCTGTTATATAAGTTTGACTGTTTGACCTCTGGATTTCAGGACATTTTCAGATGAATTGGTCACAGAAAAATAAGTCGCACAAAACAGGCTTGATAGATTTTAAAAATTAAAAGTGAATTTAAAGAAAAAAAAACACTCTAGGCTTTGAATTTTAGAATGTCGGAGCTTAAACGTCTCTTCTTAATGATCTGATACTTTAAAGGTCTTTCTTTTTTAGCGAGAAGGAAAAAGCTTCTATTTCACACATGATTTATGCTTTCATTTTGATGTGATAAATCATTTTTCGAAGGGAATTTAAGATATCTATCAAAAAGACAGTAAACCAATGAACCACCCAAAAATATGGGGAAAATGTATAAAGGTCATCATACGGTCCTAGGTAATAGACACCTTTCCAAACATAAAATAGCACTATATTACCATGCTAAACCAAACGTATATCATGATATGGTATATATCTCCAAGAATAATACAATACGTCAACCTTTGAATAGCCCTATATCTTACAAACATTTGTATCATCAATTAAACTTTCACTAATCAAAAGTCTGCAACTTACAGAAATATTTTCAGATACCAAAAAAAGCTTTTAAGGCACTATTAGACATTGATGAGGTTTCGGTTAAGTACACCATTTTGCTTATATTTCAAATAGACGAATGATAACCCAAAAAAGCTAATACTGTAAAAAAAAAAAAAAAAACTTTAATTATTTGAAAAGCTACTGAACAGTACTGAAACGACTGAAAGCGAAAGTCTGAATGGTACTGAAGTTACTACATAACATCAGTAGGAAAATTGACTACGAGGCCGACTATTTGACTGTTCAGACCTTTCAGATGATGTTAGGATCAAAATGACCATGTCAGACTCAGAATCATTTACTTTGGTATGTGATTATATATGTCATTTATAAATTAACCTACCATGAGATTCCATAGTTGTGTCATCACCTGGTATGCTATTGCCAACTAAAATAGATGATTTTTCAAACATAGAAAAAACAAATAAATACAAACAGTTAAAAAAGGATCACAAAACTATATAACATAAATAAAATCTTTGATGAACAAATAAATTACACTACTAGTAAGATATTTCGTAGTTTCCGTCTTCACCTAGTTTGCTAAATTATATAATAAATATTTTCAAAACTTAAAGAGCATGTGAACTTTATCTTCTTCTTGAATCGTAACAAATCATTTGATACTTTTAAATAAATTCTTCGACGCAAAACATTTGATAAAAAGATATTTTATTTGAAAGGAGAATACCATGTGGTTTCTTCAATATCACACCCATTTCAATATGAAACACCAATTGAATTTCGAAGATTATTTTGTTTGGGGATTATTATGACGTGTGGTATAGTAGCAGCCTTACCATATACACTTAGTATATATATGTACTTAGAAATGTGTCTCTTTCAAGCCTGTGCAACCGTTCTATGACTGATATCGAACGAATGCCATTGATTGTATTACACATAACATTTTCTTGTATTCATAATTACTAAATCCATCATAAATGAAATTATAGCTTGAAAATAACAAATGACTAATATTCAAATAACTACTGTCATTTAAGATGGAAATCGAAATTCGGCTCGTTTTCCTTTTGATATATCTGTCATTTTAATAGCAAAACCAGATTTCCTTGCGGGTATTCCGCTTTATTTGAACATACCGGAAAGAAAAAGAAAACAGAGATATGCACTTGAACATGCATTCTAATTTTCTCTAATATTCGGTTACACATACATGTAAACATCGTAATATGTTTTACCTAGTATAAAAACAAGTTTCGACACGATCCAAATGGCAATGATTTCTCTATTCGTTTAAGAGACAAGACGGATAAATATAATACATCAATCCTTAGTAAAACCTTGATAGTCCGTTTTCAAGCAATATTTTCCACTACTTTTTACATCTGTGACAACTTTTAGGAATTTTTGCAATGCTCTTGAACTTCGTTTTTGATGTTTGCCTTTGATTTTTGTTTCTTTCGAGCCTAACTGATGAGCCTTATCTAGACAAATCGCTCGCTTGGAGTAACAAATAAGCCTGGTATCTTTTTCGAGTTTTCACACCGGCTTGGTCGATGCCACTGCTGGTTGACTTGTCCGAGGGTATCACCAGACCTGTTGTCAGCATTTTGTGTTGACTTGTTTAATGCCGAAACCGTTAGTCTAGCGGAAACCTCACCTTCCAATAATAAAAGGAAGTGTGACGTATACATCAATACGGTAGCAAGTCAATGACACAACCACAAAAGACCTCTTAGGGACCATATGTAATTCTTCAAAACACCAAAAGAAAACATACAATCAGTATTCCCATTAGAACCAACTGTGCTTCTCTTCTTGCCAACTTGTTCCCTTTTTTATACTAGACAGATGTCATACAGGAGCTTCTAAGGGAGAACGTAAAGAAACTAGCATCATTCTTAAAAGTCACCTTCCGCTATAAAGATAATGTCCGGTCATTAGATAATGCAAAGTGTGGAACATATATATCCTCTTGATTTTGAAATGAAGGATACAATAGATAAAATTAAGTCTTTCTCATATTTTAATTCATATCTTAAAATTGACAATGATATTAGGTTAAAACTTTACAACGCAAAAGATTAAATGAGCGTCCCAACTGTGAACGTTCTATCTCTATATAGCAACATTTCAGCATCGCTTGCATATGGAGTAGATATATATATATATATAGTTCTCCTAGATGACACAATACTTGCTATCATGATTTCCTTGATACGGACTTGCTGCTTACAAAGAAGCTATTAAAGAATTCCAAGTGGTGAAGTTGAAGTCCTTCCTTCAAAAATCCCATGGACGCCATCACGAGTTGGTTGAACAATATAAAATATTTGTTTTATAGTTGACGACGGATATATTTCAACCGTCGTAACCAAAACCCCATCATCTTTTCGTCTAATGTGACATCACCGAATTAGATTTATCACTGAATGTGTACCTATATTAACAACACAACGGCTGAGACATGTGGAGCAGGGTTTGTTTTTTCTCAGAAGCACCTTATAGAACCCCGGTTTTTGGTAAGGTTTATGTTACTCAGTCTTTAGTCTTCTATAATTCTGAAATACCCATATACATGTTTATTTCTTAATTTCTGCTTGCACAAATCTTTATCATTTATTTGTTGATGTTATCCAATTTTTACATTACTGTATTATCACTGCAGGTAACACATTTAAAATGCTGGTCAGAAATTGCTCTTACTATTTTACAAATTCGAGCTTTTTATGATTTTGCTTCAATTTTGATACTCTTATGTTTGACATATGATATTACGGTAGTTCACAACAGCTTAGTTGTACTCCGCCGCATGTGTTAACTTAAACAGACATGATTTAGTTTCAATTGTAATTGTAATCTAGCACAAATCGTGTTCCATCAGCTAGGTAAATATCACATACCCCTCAGCAGGAAATACTTAATGAAAATTTAAAGGGAGGTACCATACGAGCCATTATATTGTCCCTGTTATAGCAATGTTAGTAAAATTCATGTCCTTGGTGCAGTAATATATCGCTTTGAACTTATAAACATGTCAAACTTGTCATAATTGAACGACCATCGCTATTGTTAGCCTATGTTCAAGTTAAATTGAATGAAACACAGCTAGCAATCAGCCTTACATTTTACTTACATCAACAGTCTTTTAAATATCTTTAAAACAGTTTTTTGTTATGCCATTGTTTAAAACTAACCAAAAAATTGGCATATACCAAAATAAGACTATTTTGAGTACGCACAAACCTGTACAGTGAACATCAATGCTTTCACTTTTATCAGTGTTTTCGATGGAACATGTAAACGAATTTTCACATATTTTCTTTTCTGAGAGATATTGGTTTTTGGACAACATGGAAGCTTCACAAATTTCGTTATCATACTTCATATTGTCAATGTTTACTGCACTGAATGTCTGGCATTTGATTCTTGCTATATCTCCAGAGTATAGTGGAAAACAGTCTACAAATAATACATTAGTATACTTTTTTTAAGTTTTCAAATGTTGATTGCTTGATTAAGTGATTATGTTTAACGCTACGTGCAGCACTGGCAGCTTTATCGTTGCAGGCACTTATGGGTGAAGAAAACCGGAGTTTATTGAGAGAATCATTGACGTTCGGCAGGCAAACCGGCAATTATAGTCAATTAGGAATGAAGTCAAACGCTCTTGCCACGTGCTAGTTTCGAATGTATAATCTCAGGTGACAGGTTAGTAATTATGTAGTTGAACTACTTTAACTACTTAGCAACCAAAGCCCCTCAAATATCTTGATATAAAGAATTGATCCTCATTATTTTAATTATCAATTCAAATATGGCATGCTTTATACAATTGCAATTACCAGTAACTCTGTCATATAAACGTAACAAACGAATTCACAATCTTACATTACAAACGGCAAACAAAGTAACAATCTTTCCTTAAACATAATAATTGAACTATAAAGGCCATTTATGTATCTCATGGACAATGAACAGATCTCCTAATTGTTTAAATTGAGAAGAGGTTGTGTTTCTCAATGGTTGTAAACTTTGTCCTTTACACTGTTCCGATTCGAGACTCACTAATGTAGGCAAGTGGCGCGTCTAGTGTAAGACATCATAATATTATAAGCCCGGTTTCCTTTTGTCTTGCTACCTTTCATTTACCCGAACCAAGTGTGGAGCATATTCATTGGTCAATTGTGCTTGTTTCTAAATTTAATTTGGTCAATTAGAGAATATTTAATGTAAGATTTGTGTTTTTTTTCAGTAAATTCACAGATCGTTTAATCGATGTGTAGCTTTACTTATGGGTCATGCATATATGTGTTGTTTGTGCTGTATTTAGACCCCTCAACAAAGAAATTTGTTTTGCATGCACACGTATAAAAATTGCAGTTTTTATCCAACGCAATCATAGGTTTGAACGTTGTTTTCAATTTAGACATGTATATATATATATATATATATATATTGCTGATATCTGCATGTTGACCTGAGGGTTTCATTTACGCGTTAGTTTTAATTGTCCCAAAATATGATCACACATATAACAGTTTGGAGAAGGTGTTAAGGAAAATTATATGTTTATTTGATTTTATTCAAAATAATACAAGATATCCTTTTAGTTTCTTAAAAATGGTGCTCAGTATTGATCGTCTTATATCATTGATGAACTACATGAATTTGATTTCCAACAAGATTCTGCATTATCGTTATCTTTCATAAATCAATTTTATGTAAGTCATACTTTTTATTTAGTTTTAGTGTATTTATTAAGAATAGTTACTTTACACTAATTAAGTCATAAAACGATTGTATCTTTTCAATGAAAACCATGTCGTTTACTTATGGATTGAAGTTGGTAGTTTATATAAGTTCAGTACAAGTGTCCAAATGCAAACTTCCATATATTCAATATATTTTAATAGAATCTTAACTTTTGGTAGCAACAAAATGGAATAAGCCTTAATCAAAATATTCAAATACAATATAGTATGATTGTATAGACTTTAGATTTATCTGTAGGATGGTAACAATCCTATAATTACCTAGATGTAAATCTTTGTGGTCAGTCTTAGTTTAGCGAAATATTCAGAAAATCGTTCTTGAACGGTAGACCCGCTGCTATATTAATATATCAGCGAAAAACACAGCTTAGCATTGATCATTTAAGGTAAATTCCGATCGGGTGTCTTCTGCCATCTTTGGTTGTGAAATAGCAGGAAACAATCGGTCTAGATCTTTAATGAAATGGGCACATTTTGAGAGAAGAATACAATTCATTTGTAAAATGTTTAACTGAATGAAATAAATTGTTTCGTACAAGTACAGAATATTTTTTGTTTGATAACATTTTTGCCTTTTTGCCATTTAAGGAGAGATAACTCAGATAAAGTTACTTATATTAATGAATGATTTATGAATTTACTTATCTTGTTGCGGAGCAAAACATTATTATTTGCCTGTTAGTATTAGGCGAGTGACAGTTTTCAAAAAGACGCGTAGTTAACGACTTTTATGCACCCACCTAACATACGGCTATATTATATATCATTCGAAAGCCTATTAACTGTACTTTCTGTTTTGCCTTGTCGTCAATAATTCGCACAGTGCAATTTCCGTTAAATCAAAGGTCAAAACTGAACATTCCTAACTTTTGCTAGAATTAAACGAAATGCCCTTTTCTGGTACTTGTATGATATTTTTTTTCTAAAAATTATCTGAACCTTATAAAACAAAATCCCATAATTCCAAACAGTTGCAAACTAAAATGGTGATTGCGCAATATTTACAGAAAATTGCATTTCTTGAAAAAACTTCGAAAAATGATAAAGTTGCAATAAAAGCTGAATGTTTCCTGAGGTTTGAATATTTATATGTAAAAAATAGAATAGATGTATCGTTTATAGGCCTAGATAATTTTTTCATCATTTCAAACTTCAATTAATATGATATAGGTCAGGATGCAGCCTTCTAATGAAGCTTTTGAAGTTGCCCTAAAAACACCATCTGCAAATAGGGATCATTTTGCTTTTTTTTGGCTTCCTTATTATATTCTTTCTTCTTTCAACAAAAGAAAAGTAAACCAGATGATTCAAAGCTGAGCGAATAAAAGACAACAGAACTTAAAACTCAGATATCGATACAAGACATAAAAAAGTAAAAAAAAAAAAAAAAAAAACGACTCTAAGGAAAATTCAAAACAGAAATTCCATTATCAAATGACCACACCAAAAGCTCAAACTCATCAAACGAATGGAAAACAATTGTTATAAACCTCCCCTCTCTCTCTCTCTCTCTCTCTCTCTCTCTCTCTCTCTCTCTCTCTCTCTCTCTCTCTCTCTCTCTCTCTCTCTCTCTCTCTCTCTCTCTCTCTCGTGATAGATCTGAATTTTAGTCAGGTTGTTTTAACCCATGTTTTTAACACTTATACATACCATTTTGTACATTTTTTTGTTTTCATGTCAATTAATATCACTTATTATTGTTTAAAGACCTTCGCACTAAAACCAATTAAAAGAATTGAAAACATTCAACCATAATTTTCATTTCTCACAATTGTATAGATATTTTAAAATAAAATAAGTTCATTTTAACAGTATATATTCTTAATGTCCATGTGCTATCTTTTAAAATATGCCAATATTTAATCAATGCTTGACAGACGATCTACTAAAATATGTTTTTCTGAATGCCTTAAATGAAAATATTAATATGTTGCACATCGACATTGAAATTTTAATGCTAAATCATGGGCATTTAAATTTGAAGTGAAAGCGGTTCATATGCATTTATATTTCAGTTTCTATTAGGGAAATTGATTTGTAACATATGCTGAAGTAAACATTAATATCAAAACTGCTTTGGTAAGAGGTTGCCTACTTTAACAAAAGGCTATTGATGCTGATTGGTAGATCTTTTGTTGTGACACCTACATAGTAATTTCGTTCTTGATACTAATAAATATAACTAATATATTGTTGACGGAGATTGCCAGTTTTCCTGCCAAAGGTCGGTGGTTCCCTGGGCACTCCGTGGACCAATAAAAACTGATCGCTGCAAAAATACTTTAGTAGCCAATAGTGCTGAAAATTGCGTTAAACACCAACAATCAATCAGTCATCTTTATATTACAATATACTAATATGTTAACTTTTCAGGAAGTGTAAATATTATTGTTATTATTAAATGTTATAACGAATTGCTAGAATTTCCAAATCAAAAAAAATAATGTAAGTAAATATAATTGCAACATGTCTCGATTTATTTACAAGAAATTACGTACTTTGATAGGATTAAATACTTCGGCTAGGCATGAAGAACATTTTCAGCGACTAGTTTATAATAGCTTTCACTTCGGCATCAGCAACCAAGAAAACATACAAATATTGAAAAATCAAAGTTTCGCTCCCAAACTTTCCCCTAAAAGCATGAATTCCCTGTGTTTTATATCCTTTAACCTTTTTGCACTTTTAAGATTAATGTTTTTCAGCCTAATGTTGACTACATACAATTTGTTTTAAGATAGAACAGCTAAAAAGGATATCTTTTTGCAGATGATGGTATTTTGGGCAACTGCATGGGTTGTTATAATTGGCTGTTTAATTAACAAGAAGCGTAATTGCAGTAATGTGATGATGTCAAAAACATCCTTAGTACTAAATAAAATATATTATTTGGTTTTATGGTGAAAATTAATTGAATCACAGACAAAAATTTTGGTTTTCACGCATTTTTATCATTTTCACAGGAATTTCTGGTAAACGGCGCTATTTGTTAAAAATCCGATATTGATATTTCAAATTGCTTTTGATAAGTAACTACTAATATCTGTTCTAACAGATTTTCATACTTCCATACAAAATATCATTATTCAGAAGACAGAATATGTAAAAATACTGACATCTTGTATAATTAGAAATTATCTGTCCTTGACCTTTCATCGTGATGGAAACTGCACCATACGAATATTTGACGACCGGGCAAAAAAGATAGTACATGTGATGTACTTTCGAATGGTATCTGATTTAGCCGTATATTAGGTGGGTGCATTAAAAATGAAATTGTATGGTTAATGTCACTCGTCTATATGGGATGTGTATTGTTTTGAAGCTATATTATTTTCTCATTGTTAGAATTTATAACCGTTCATCGCAAATGAACACACCGCACTCATGTACATCCGCAACAAAGCCGTTAAGAGATAAGTTTGAAAGTCGTTCAAGTCAAACTCCGAATAGATAAAAAATCAGCAAATGAATGTAGATACTTTAACTAATTCTACGATAGACGTTTCATATTTTCCCGTAAAAGCATTAAAAACATATACATATACTTTTTAGATTGTTTGTTTTCTAAAGGCAATGTTCTTGATTTTTAATTTGTTTGCATTTTATAACAATCAAAGTTAGGGTGAAATAAACAATAATTTAATAGGAAAACATCATCAGTTATTTCTAGAAATAGCTTAAAGTCAGGTCGGTGTCAAATAATGTTCGGCTTAATTTTTCTCATTCTAAGTTGATCATGTTGATTATTTTATTGCTCAACTTTGTTTTTTGATTGTGCATTTACAGAAATATCTATTGATATTAGCCATACAAATTCCAAGATAATGTTCTTAAAAATAATTAATCGGTGTCCTATTTTTCCTTTTTTTTTAAAGTATGAAATTTTACAAAAAAGAGTAAAAATATTCACTTACACAATGTATACAATAACCAACATATCCAAAAAGGCTGCATCAGTTATGACAATTTCTTGCTCACTTAGAAGAGATATTAATGTTAAATGACTTACCGTTACAATGAAAACGTCTGTTCGGGTGTTGATACCTCTTTGGTCGGTTTGATCGATAGTTATTAGTATGGCACGTGAAGTAACCATGACATTCCATTGTTGAAGAAATATGATATGCACATTTCTGTTGTTCGTCAAACCAAAATGGTTTAATAGAAACACTTGAAATATTTCTACAATGAAGTTCTCCATAGCGACTTTCTTCAATCGAGAGACAGTTCACTCCTGACAATAAGAGATGTGATAAGAACAAGAAACACCTATATATATATAAGTAAACACATGCATATACAACTTGGTGTAGGATATAGATATAAAATAAAAGTATTAACACATTTTGTAACAATTAAGTATAAAATGTTTCAACACACAGATGCAAATGGAGGTTGGGTATATTCATATCTAAAAGCAAAATAAATAAAATACTCAAATCGAATAGGAAATTAAAGGTAAACATGGTAAATAGGCACTGATTTGAGGTAGTGGAAAACTTTTTCGTCAAATATCAATAGGAATGTTATAAAATGACTACATGAACACATACAAAAACAATGCATATTGTAAATGTGTATTTGTACCGCCTTACAGAAGTACCCCTGAAATCTTTATTAAAAACCATGCCATAACATCTATTCCTGTTGGAATAAATCCTGTTGGAACAAATACTCTATATCCTCCATTCCATCACCAACAAATACTGTAATATTTGTTCCAGTGGAAATGATAATACTTGATATACACGAATATTGGAAAATGTCTAAGAAAGATAATTTGGTGTAAAACCAAAAACTGTTTAAAACTATATTATTCGAAAACTAGATTAAAAAAATTATACAAACCATTATTGGAATTTTTACCAAAAGTACTAATTATCCTTAAAGTTACGAGACATAAAATTTTTATTGCATTCATTCTGGTCAAATGTTGAATTAATCTATACATATATGATTGTTCCACTCAGAATCAAATTTAAATTACAATTAACAATAAGAGACCGGAAAATGAAAATTTAAGTCGCATCCTATAACATGATAAAAACTGTAAGTACCACATGTACCCGGAACTATGTTAACCAATAACGTTTCATGTGATACAGTTTATAGCTTATTCATTTTTATTACATAATTTTATATTTTGTTTAAATACACAATCTTAACAAATATGCTTTGGTATAAGATATAGATAGACGATAAGACACATACTTGACAATGTCAAATGGAAAACGATTACCCGTTTGAAATTTGACAAAATCATTCAAGGCTTTATAGAGCTATTTCAGGTGTTTTCGGTTCAACATGTTCTTTTAACTTGTCTAATTTCATAAGTTGGAATCGGAACACTTTAGATTGTAAATAAAACAGGCAAACGTATATGTATTTTAATTTGAAATCAATGACTTTTCATAGTAGTTTTTATTAAGGCAGACTTTTTTTCCATTTTATTTTTGCATTATGAAAGTATCTCACATTATCATATAATAAAAAGGTAATAACCAAATGATTTTACTTCGTCAAGGTCATGAATACAGCTCCGTTTTTATAATCGTTTGTGTCCATTACTCCAATGTAATGATTTCGGAATTTTGTGTCTTCATCTTCGTACTTTATTCGGCATTTTACTTTTTTTATTCGAGCGTCACTGATGAGTCTTTTGTAGACAAAACACGCGTCTGGCGTAGGACTTGTGTCTATGATGACATGCAATTATCAGTCTATGGAAAGTGCGAATCGAGAAAACTGTTTCTTTTGTGGAGTCGCGATATTTTCTGATATAAAATTATAAATATGCAGACACTCCATAAGAAAAAGGGTGTTTTATTTTGCAGTAAAAAAAATGTTTATTATTAAAATATATAAATACGGTAAGTCTGGAATTAATTCACGCAACAAATAACAGCGTTTTATGTAATACCATTAATCAATAGAACGCAAAATCGATTATAATCAGTCTTTCAATGTTGATTTTTAAGGAAATAAGTCAAGTGGATCAGTCAAACAAGCAACAGAGTAAGATTGATTTATGGACATATACACTGTTAACCTTTCATTTAAATATAAATAAAAATTAAGTCTTACAATATGTTCAATATCAAAGTAGTAGCAAAAGTTTATGTCCTTGTAGTGCTACCTTTTTCTTTTGTAAATAGATAATTAAATGCTATTGTTTTAATTGTAGTTGCGGATGTTTTTTTATGTTACTTGTTCGTGTTATATGAGGTTGCAGTTTTTAGCCAACTGCTTAACGTCAAAATGAACTTTTGAGACATCTTGATAATTCTTAATTGTTCTTTAAACATATCTGTGTTCGATAAAAGTTACATAGCGATGTTCCGTTGCTAGGGTTTGGACTTTCCCTTTTTAACTTTGCTTGGATTTTGCTATTTCTGTTTATTATGCTTTAATTGCTTAGTTTTAACGGCTTATTCATATATCATAATGCTATTGCTAGATAAGAAACTATATTTCTATGTTTGCTTTTTTGTCAAGTTTAATTCTTTTCAAACCTCACAAGAAGTAATATTTTGATTAAATTAATTGTGCATTTGTAATTTCCTAAACGTTGACGTATTTCATAGTTAATTGGTAAATTTTGTAAGGAGACACATTACGTAAATTTATCAGATTGATATAATACATGTTTTGAAATAATTTGTTTATATATGTTGTTATAAAATGTGATATAACATTACAGCGTTTCATTTGATACTTCATTAATAAAACTATACAGCATTCTACATGGTCAGCAATTTATTTATGTCCTAGATAGTGCGATAACAACCATATGACCACATAGAACTACCAATAGTACGCAAGGCAGTTTATTGTATAAGGCATCACTGTATGTAATGATAACTGACCAAGTACGAAAAGATTCTTTAAAGATTCTAGGCTAATAATTTAAGTAGGCGTGATGCACTTTGTCAACGGCGTTATAATTCAAACAGTTGGAAAGCAAAATCAACTACAAAGTTGTAGAACATTGAAAGCCAAACACGAATCTGACCTCCACATGGCTATAAATTAATCGAACCAAACTTGTTTTATCATATGACATTGATTATATCTAATGATATACACACTTAACATAGGCATTACAAAAAAGCCGAAGGAACTCTCACGAGGCAATATATAAGTCTCATACCTCAATTGGCTCAACAAGATTCCTATTTGGTATTTAGGAATTGGTTCATCTTTTTTTTTTATTTTTTTTTTTACAAAAAGACATATAGTTAACACTAAAATAATTTATGTATCTAATTGCTATTTTTTTTTATTATTTCCGCAGTATGGTAAACAAAAATAGAAATTCAGTGCTTTTTCCGATCTAATTGCAAACAGAATAAGAACCGTATATTGGAAATAGATCCTAAATACATCATTATTGACCACTGCTTCTCTTCTATGTAAAACGTCAGAATAACCTTGAACTCTACCATGATTTCTATCGTATATTGTATGATCGCATGTGTTGTGTTTATATAATTATCATTGTCATAAACATGTGCATACTTTTTAGATTCTACAAAAAAAAAGGTTGTCTGTTTTCTCTTTCTTACGATCTTTGAAAATGAATGGAGGTGCCAACGTCCCATGCAGACACACGGTTATCTTATGGGTTGTCTATTTTAATTTCTGTTAAAATGCACTAGAACAATGTGCGTCACAAGTGGAAACATTTCTTTGGTGTCTCCTGTAAAATGTTATTCCAAACCTAAATTTGTAAACATTACATTGAACAGCAAATCTGAGGACATACCTTGTTTGAATTGGATACCTAACCTTCACAACAATCCGTACACTCAACGGTATATTGCCAGCTCATATTCATGCTTTACAACGAAATTGTCCATTTGATTGACACAATTCTCTCCGCTGTAAAAGAGAGTCTTCAGAAATACTGTGAAACTGTTTACTTGAGCAGTGGTATTAACGAGATGTGGATTCTAAAAACCTCTACAGAACCTCTGGATAATTTTAAATATCGATCTTTACCCGAATTCATACTATCAAAACTGTTGATCTTTTAATCCTGTATACAAACAGTCCCCATTTGAAATTGTAAAATTGTTTAAAAGATATAATTCAGGAAAATTCAAAACGGAGAGTCCCTTATCAAATGGCAAAATCAAAAGCTAAATCATACCAAACGAATGTAAAACAACTGTTATATTCTTGACTTGGTACAGGCATTACAGAATTTTAGTATTGATATCCAGAAATTATTGCTTTTTATATAATACACTTCGCACACCTACTTTTTAATGATTAATAAAACCTTGAAGGCAGCTTAAAGTGAATACAACATTAGACATTGTAACATAACATGTTTATATTTAATCATATTGATAATAGAGTTAAAAAGAAACGTACAAATTGAACGACGACCATTTTCTCTCTTTTTTTTTTTTTTTTTAGTTATTTATAACCAAATAAATATTTCTGTCAGTTCTCATTTAATTGTTTTATTCTCATTATATATGCGATCCAACCACGAGATGATCAGTTGTACCGCCTCCTCGCTGAATGATGGGATCGTTATTTGGCTGTTTGTTAAGATCCCAAAATTGACGAATTCGCTGCCTTGTGTATGCTTGAACAAATATTTCGCTATACATGTAAAAAAGGTATATGAGGAAACTTGGGTAAAGTCGGCGTTATAAAGTTTATAATTTTAGACGTGTTCCCGTAAAGCAACGACAGATATATTTTGTTTAAGTACATAGCCTCTTTAATAAGGCAGATATATATATATAAAAAAAACTTGAAAAGGAAGAATTAACATATTTATATTCGATTAATTCTGATTGATAGACAGGAAATAAACTAATTTGATTATTTATACCTTGCACATTATAATTGCAAATGCAAACGACCGATATTTACGAAAAAGATCATTTATGTTTAAGTTATGTTTCTCTTTCAGTCGTATCTTTTAGTTTTTTTTTTAATCTAATAAGCGTAATGTATACATGTTCTGGATACATAAGAATTTTATATCACGACTGTATATGCATTGACCGAGTTTCTGTAGAGAGAGAGATAACCTTCATTTGGATAAGTATGCATATTGTTCTTATTCACTTCTTACTTTAATTTATGTTATAATATCTGAGACTTCAGAATGATACGCAAGTGTTTAACTCAAAGTTTTTTTCAACACAAATTGCGTGAACAAATTTGTTTCTTCAAGGTCGGAAAGGCTTTATATAATATATATTTG